CTTGGGCGATGGTTTAGACATCTATTAAATTTTCACTGACAGCCCAAATTTTGCCTTGTTTTTGCCTAGACGTTTGAACTGTGTTTAGACGCTATTAGACGTCTTTTAAACGCAAAATTGCTTGCTGGGCTCTGCCTCTTAAATCTGACCCCAGGATGCTGCTGCTGTTTGGGTGTGGATTGCTGGGAAAGAGGAGGTCATGCAGTGATGTGCCATTGTGCTTAAATTCCCAGTTAACCTACAATGATGCAACATTCCTCGTGAACATAATGTTCTTGGATATAAGTGTCATTCTGGCTCTTTTTAAGTGGTGTGAACCAGTTTCCGGCTTCCAAACCGTTGAAGTAGCAACTTTTATCTCATAAGCTTCACTGTTTTTTGCATGCAATGACGTTTAAAGGCACAGAGAAAGAGAGAGAGAGAGAGAGAGAGAGAGAGAGAGAGAGAGAGAGAGAGAGAGAGAGAGAGAGAGAGAGAGAGAGAGAGAGAGAGAGAGAGAGAGAGAGAGAGAGAGAGAGAGAGAGAGAGAGAGAGAGAGAGAGAGAGAGAGAGAGAGTGTGTAAAGCAGTCTCTGGTGTGTGTGTTTTGTGTTATTTGTTATCTAGTGTGGCACACGCTCCAGGGACGACGCTCAGGGAGCTTTGGCAGACAGCATGCAGTAAATATCGCAATGTGAAACGAACCATTATAAAGCTACAACAATAGTGCAGATGCAACTAATGGGTGGCATGTCGCTCTATGAGTGTTTCCTAAACAGATGAACAGAGGAATTTTACAGTTACGCAGGCTTGATCACTATGTACAGAATGAGTCGCGCAAGGCATTGCATATTAATAAAGTCTGTCACATTTTACCGGATTGAAACACAGAAGAATCGCTGCAACAGTAACAGAAGAACGCAAGCTAAGCATGTGGACCATTTCAATGCACTGGCCAAGCATTCGCAAATGCATTGCATAATATTTCTAGACTTAAGTTACAGCGTAGGTGTCATAAAACTGTAAGTCCTTTACTGAGCGTCTCTCAAACACACTCTAAGCTCAGTGCTGGTTAATCCTTCCTTCATTATTTTGCTGCGTTGCTTTTTTGCAGTAATTGATTTTCCCAATTAGTGACGGCACAAAAGCGTATGCAAAGGTCATTCAAACAAGCTTACGCGGCACACGGACGAGCCCTGTCCTTTTTAAACTGTTCACAGCTCAACTGAGTAGATCAATTCAATGACTTCAAACCCTAACACCCACAATGGCATATAACTGCCTCAATATTTCCTGAAAAGTACTCGGGAGAAAAAAAAACTAGCTTTCCATCATCCATGAAATCCCTCCACAAAGAAAGAGGGGACCAGTTGAAAAAGAGTTAAACGCAAACATGGGATGTGTGTATTTGGCTGTGTGCATGCGTGTTTCCAAAAGAAATACTGGGATTATGTGATTTTGGGCTTATCACAGAGCAGTGATAACATTTTTAAAATTCTTTCATTGTTTTTTTTTTCAGTCTGCTCTCCATAATTCAGCCATAGACATCCATTAAAATTCCTCCCTCTACAAAACACTAAACCAAATTCATTTCAGTCACTTGATGCATATGACATTTCATATTATTATGATATTTTGGAGTCTAGCCTCTTAGTAATCACTGTAACACTTTAGTTTAGGGTCCAATTCTCACTATGAATTGCTTAGTAGCATGCATATTATTAGGATATTGGCTATTTATTAGTACTTATGAAGTCCAGCCTTATTCTGCATGACCATATTCTACAACACTTAATACCTAAACCTAACATCTACCATACTAACTATTAATAAGCAGTAATTAGGAGTTTATTGAGGTCATTGTTAATAGTGAGAATTGGACCCTAAAGTAAAGTGAGACCAAAATAACCTAACATCTAACAATAGCAGAAAATAAAATATAATTATAAAATTAATTGTGTGATGGTGATAGTGCTTTTATGTAACAGTTATATATTTTAAATAATTATTTAATGCATTAATATTGAGTAACTTGCATATTAGAAACAATATTTCCAGTTACTTGCATATTTCTGCTCCGCCAGCAAAAGAAGTTTCAAACAAAACCACAGCAAAATGAACTGTTACGAAACACGATAACGTGCTTCATTATTGAATGAATCAGTGTTTTAAAATGAATCAGTTGAATGAATGATTAAAATGCTCACTTAAAGACAATGATTTGTTTTCAATGAGTGAATCAGTGTTTTTGAACAAATCGCTAAATAATGATTCAACGACTCACTTAAAAAGTCTCACAACTTGACAGCATAATGATGTAACCTGCAATATACTGTACTATACTATACTATACTATAATATAATATAAGAATTGGGAAGACACTCACTGTTGACTTTCTTACTTTGAACTCACAACTTCCGCTTCTATTAGTGATTCAAGGAAAACTAGTTCAAACTGACTTGTCTGTTTTGCAAACAGAAGCAAATGAAGCCTGTCATTGTTCAGTTTCTGTAATTGGGATGTATGTTTGCATTATCTTGGCGTGTTCTGCTTGTGACGTACGTTACTGTTTGCTTCTCATTGCTTAAAACAACATTATAAGTCCATTTCTATCACATAAAATTCAAATGAAGCAGTGAATGTAAAGAGTTTAAGTCCGTTCAAATAAGGAAGACTGTGTTGTTCTCACCAGCAGGGAGCTTTGACATGTCTTGACCTGACAAATGCATGAACTGCAACTGATGTATTACTAATCGGTTGAAAATACAGAACTGCACTGAAAATGTTTGGTTTTCACATGGAAAGTCAATGGAAATAGACACTGAAGTGTTCTGCGGTGCCTTAGGGAAGACGACTGAGATGAGAGATCTGTCTTAAGGCTATAAAACACAATCTTAAAGACAGCAGGTTCCTGATCTGAACTCAACCCTGTCGTTTCTGAATGCAGAAACACCAGCTGAACAGCATATGGCAGATCACTGGACCATTGATCTCTTCTGAAATAACAGGCATGGTGTAGGTGGAAGTGAAAAACTAGGTAAAAATGTGACGGTTTAAAGCAGCAAACGTACACACACACACACCCACACATGCACAAAGCAGAGGTTGAATGCTTTCAGTTCTCACAGAACAATACTGTCTTGCTTTAGGGTGGGAAAGGAATCATACGGCGCTTTCGCAACTTATGTAATTTGATCATAGCGAAGAAAAATGCAAATGACATGTCTGTTTTCCTTCCAAATATTTAGGAAGCATTGTTGGTACATGAACTAAACCAACGTTGAAGGTTTGTTTAATGTCATTTGTCATGTGCTAGTGCTGCTTTTATGACGCCACTGTTTAAGTTGTGACTTAAGGAAACTAAAGTGTGACACTCCTACATGAAACTAGACACACACGGACCTCCGTTGGACTGAATCCCTGTTGATGTGCCATACTAACGTTCCTGTTAGCTCATTTATCACCATCGTAAAGCAGCATGTCAGAGCGATGCCGTTATAGAGCCCTAGAGAGACGCAAGCCATTATAGCCAAAGTGCCACTGTTTTTGCTCGGTTTTGTTTTCGGGTTTTCTACATCAGGGCGATGACACCAGACCCTGCTGTTCATACTCGGGTGTTGACGGGCTGGTGAACCCATGAGGCCTGCGCTCACTAAAAAAAGCCTGTGGTTGCACACATATCGTGGGAAAAAACCCAACGTGTAGAGCGAAAAATAAACAGTCACATGACGTTTTTGAAGCAAAGACCTAATTTCCTGAGTGCCAAAAGCTAATATACACTCACAGTGTGCTGTAATGCCACCAAAAAAACATGATCCTAACCTTTATCTCCAGACCGAATTTCAGATGGAGATTCATCTTTTATGAATCGTTAAAATACTGGAGACTGTAGTGCACACTGCGACGTTTTTAAAAGCTTGTGATATGAATAAACAGTGCTCATAAACGGCTGTTTAGATGCTCTTCTCAATGGAAATGAGAAGAGGATTGGACCCGGAAACAGTATTCCTTAACAAGCGGAGAGTGATCTTTATGGAGACTCAAACAGGCAAGAATGGACATCATCATATTTGGGTAAACTTCTATAGAGGTGAACAAAAACTACAACAAATATAAAAAATATTCTCATTTGCCTCCAATAGCAAAATTAAAAAAAAATCCACAACAGCATTTCTTATCAGTTTACAAAAGAGGGGGAAAAAATATTGAGAGACGAAAAGTCAAGTTTGCTGTCTTTCCTTCCGCTATTGCACACAGCAGCATTAACTCGCTTTCTGGCATTTAAAACTAAGGTAAGAAAACGCCCAGTATAGTCTTAAAAATGTAATTTTTTGTTGTTGAACGAAACCACATGGCTTACCATCAGCAGCTTTAGTCTTACTACACTGACACGCAGTGATATTTAGCTAAAGATTAAGACAAATCTACAGGCAAATACTGTATGTGGAACCTCAATGTTTAGGTGTGTAAAACAGGCTTGACCTTCCGACTACTTTTAGTGTCATGAAACACAAATACACACACAGTAGTGGCCAAAAGTGATGTCCGGAGGGGATACAGTATCTGTTGTTAATAATGACCCTATACAAGTTCGATTAAACCATACAAATATGAGGAGAATATTGTAGATTTCTTTAAATAAGACATAAGAACATAACTAAAGTATTAAAGTTAAGGCAAACTAAAACTACAGGCTTTATTTTACTATGCAAAAAAAGAGAATAGAATAGCAAAAAGCTCACATTGACTTCAACATAATCAGTTATTAATATTTAGTTGGCTCTCTCTTGTTTTTGCATGTGTTCATAATTAATTTGTATGACAACCTGGCAAAAATGGCAGCATTTATAATCACAAATAAAACAATTGACTCCAAGCACAACCATGCAATATTGCTTACAAAATCTTTAACTATTTTGAATAATATTTGAATGTCAATTTTCCTAGGCCGGACATCACTGTTGACCACAACATTACACTAACTGTTCAGTTTCCTTATGCAAACCATTTTCCCCACTCACCATATCCAGGAATGCCTTCGGAACGGGAAATTGTTGACGTGCATCATTTTTTTCTCCCTTCCTGTGTTACTGCGGCCAGTCTTCATTTAAGCGAAGGTGTGGTTCGGGTTGGCTCCTCTCGCTCTCAGAAATAAATAACTCTTATGCCGGCCTTGGGATAGCCATTATACAGCCTTACATGTCTCCACTGAAACGTGCTCCAAGCAACTCAAAAACAAGAAACAAATCCACCTGGAGCAACGGAGATTACATCTTCTTACTGTGTGCTATTCCATAGAAGAGCCCTTAGAAGACACTCCATTCATTTAAAAACGTCGACAGTGTGCGTAAATCAAATTTTAAGGCAACAAAACGGCAAGCATATTACACAGAAAAACAGTCTGGAAGGTTAAGTGGTTGTTCCATAGTAGTAGAGCAAAAATAACAAACAAAGAGCAGAACGAGGGTCTTTCCGCTGCCGTTTGTGTGGGATTTGAAACTCACTGGGGTACATCCTCATCGTGAATCCTCCACATTAATAACTGTTTGAGGAAAATGCTTCATTTGGCCATCGGAGATGCTTCCCCATTGAAACCCGGAGATGCATGCCGTCCCTTCTCCGAAATATTCCTGGTGCAAACAGCCCAGATGCCATGGAGAGATGGATGACGGGTCCGATTCGTTCCGATGCGCTTTGTTGTCCTCAGTAAGCCCTGGAAATGTTGGTTCGCCCCCCCCCCCCCCAAAAAAAACGAGTAAGTCAAACACCTCTATTGATCCTCTTAGCTGTGATTAATTCAGTGGTGTTTGCTGAAGGAATGGGTGGAGTAGCCGTGGAGGATGAGATGGAGAAGAGAAAACACACCGAGTGTGTCACCTCAGGGTTGTCCGCATTCCTGTGTGTTCCCGTCTCAGACGTCTGATCCCGGCTCTCGTCAGATTTGGCAGGCGTTGAAGGCAAGGTGCCGCAAGAAGCAAATTAAAACAGTGAAAGCAGAACGTGCTAAACCTCTCGACAATCACGCAAGCTTTACTCTTCTCTTTCTCACTCCGTCTCCCTCACTCAGTTTCCCGGTTCTTCTCGCTCTCTGCCGCTCTGCTGCAGCGCCGGCTCTGGGCTGTACAGGGTGTGTGTGTGTGTGTGTGTGTGTTTGGGAAAGACTGTGACTCGCTGTCTGTGTGTGAGCGTCAAGGGGCCCTACAAGGGAAACTCTGACCGGCCGACGACGCACAGCGCTAAATAAAGCACACGCCTGACAGCTGGAAGAGCCTGTTTCTGCAGCACGGAATTAAAGCGGATGATAATATCTCAAAGGTCAGGAGCAATGACAATGATAAGACAACAAAAAATAAGAGTTAAGATATACTCTGAGACAATATAGTCCTACAAACCTCGCTCTAAGCTAGCTGGGCTGCTTAGGCTATAAGGTACAAGAACAAAACCATGCCTCATTGGAAAGAAAAATCATAAAGGAGATCTCTTTTATATCTCTAGAGTTTCTCCTCGATGGAACTGATCCTGCAAATCCTGCTTCTCCTGAGAAAAAGATCTCTTGTTTCTCCTATAAAGAGATCTTGAATGATTTGAAAAAGGTTTGAAATATCAAAGTCAGAAATCTCAGAGTGCAACCTCAAATATTTCTTATCAATTTCGGCCAAGATCAAATTATATGAGCTGCTGTAAAAAAAAAAATTCAAACTCTAAAGAGTCTGCGTCTGTTTTAGGAGAAACACCGAGCACAAACTCAAGCACTGTGTCGTCGCTCATGAGCCTCAGGGTTCCCCGACGTGTCTGGCTGATGCCATTTTAGGACAAAGAGAAAATTGCGAGCAGACAACTTTGCAGTGATGCCTGTCTTAAAGAATTACGCATCTTGTCCGACTACATACCTTCAATTTTTCTTCTCGTTCAATTTTCCCCTTCGAAAAAAACCAGAGGAAAAAAAATCCAGACAGATCATTCCCTGTGACATAATTCAATTTCACCTCTAAATCTGACTGATGTTTTTATGCAGGTCCTAACACAGCGTAATACCGGGACATAAATCAAAAATATCATTCAGGATCGAGAGGTCATTACAAAATAGTTAATGAGAGAGTGTTTTAAATGCCACATGCGACTAACATGATTTATGTCTTGGTTTGTTCATGTGTGTTGAGTTCAAATGCACATCTGAATCAGGTGCAAAAAAACTGAGTTAGAGTTAATAAACAGACTTTGACATTAGAGCTGCATGATTCTTCATAAATTGAGAATCATGATTTTACAAATATTAACAAATGATTACATTACAAAATCGTTGATATAACAAAACCGATTATATAATAACAAATATTACGATTTAAAATTTGAAAGAGTGAATGATTCAATAACTCATTCATAAATACGTCACTTGTTTCATTACTGGATGAATCAGCATTTTCGAGTGAATCTCTTGAATGAATAATTCAATGACAAATACATTTTTAACGGTCACTTTTCGCCACCTACTGGTGTAATGATGAAATCGATAAAATCATTATTTGAAGCACCAAGTTACTTTAAAAAGATGATTTGCTCTATTTTGATCGCTAAAGACATCAGTGTTTATAAGAACTATACACTTGTATGGCAGTACTTGTGATCATCTGAATATTTGTAACAGAAATAATAATACTGTGTTGTTGAAAAGACAAACATTGATCTGAATGGTCTGGTATGATTTTGTTTTAATAGACACAGGCAAATCGTTGTTTAGGAATAAGATCGCTTGGATGATTAAATAAAGATTGCGATCTTTTAACGAATAATCATCCAGCTGTAAGTTCAACAGAAAACAGGGCACTGATAAAAACACATTCAGGACCATTCACAACGCAGTCCTGAAGTGTCACTAGTCCCTCCCCTGTGAAGGCCTCGTTCCCTTTACCTCTGTACAGATAATCGTTGTCGGGATAGTTCTGGTTCACGTGGCTACGCCGAAGCGATAAAAATTCTGTATTATACATTTTAAGGCCAGACAAGTAGTTTGTTGAGGGATGGTTTTTTAGGGTAGGACTACATGCCTGTGCACACATATTCAAACACGCATACCTATAGATTGAACTCTTAATGTGCACGCCATCATCATTCTCACAGGTTCGCGTTTTTAAAGTTTGCGTAGAGAGAACTTAAGAGTTTTCTGTTAAAACGGTGTCGTGTTAGCGGCCTCTGAGTTAATAACTAATGATCGTTGTGACGGAAGTGAATCAATTAAAACTAACTTTAACTGGAAAATAACTTTATTCTAGAGCTGCCATAAAGCCAAAACAATCTGTTACTTTAATTTCCTATTATCACTGTAAATCAGCTTTGAAACAATCTACATTGTTAAAAGCGCTATATAAAAGATGACTTGACTTGACATGGCCTCTTCATACTGTACCTATCAATAAAAGATGCAAAAAAGTGAAACCTCAATAAAATGGGTGGATGATTGGGTGGGTGGGTGGATGGATTGATTGATGGGTGGATGGGTGGGTGGATGGATGGATGGGTGGTTTGGAGGGTGGGTGGATGGGTGGATGGATGGATTGATTGATGGGTGGGTGGATGGATGGGTGGTTTGGAGGGTGGGTGGATGGATGGATGGGTGGATGATTGGGTGGATGGATGGGTGGATGGATGGATTGATTGATGGGTGGGTGGATGGATGGGTGGTTTGGAGGGTGGGTGGATGGATGGATGGGTGGGTGGGTGGATGGATGGATTGATGGGTGGATGGATGGATGGATAGATTGATGGATGGATGGGTGGATGGATGGATTGATTGATGGGTGGGTGGATGGATGGGTGGATGGATGGATTGATTGATGGGTGGATGGGTGGGTGGGCGGATGGATGGATGGGTGGGTGGGTGGGTGGATGGATAGATGGATGGATGGGTGGGTGGATGGATGGATGGATGGGTGGGTGGATGGGTGAATGGATGGGTGGGTGGGTGGGTGGATGGATTGATGGGTGGATGGATGGATGGATGGATGGGTGGATGGATGGGTGGATGGATGGATGGATGGGTGGATGGATGGGTGGATGGGTGGATGGATGGGTGGGTGGGTGGGTGGATGGGTGGGTGGGTGGGTGGATGGGTGAATGGATGGGTGGGTGGATGGATGGGTGAATGGATGGGTGGGTGGATGGATGGGTGAATGGATGGGTGAATGGATGGGTGGGTGGATGGATGGGTGAATGGATGGGTGGGTGAATGGATGGATGGATTGATTGATGGATGGATGGGTGAATGGATGGGTGGGTGGATGGATGGGTGAATGGATGGGTGAATGGATGGGTGGGTGAATGGATGGATGGATGGTGGATGGATGGATGCAACATGACAGTTTTATTTGAGCACCAATTCAGTCATCAACATCTCTCTTCACGAATATTCACTTCAGCTGAGATTTGTTACATAAGCTCTGTTCACTTCAGCGTGGCCTTATATTACACACAGCAGAGGCTCAGTATTTACTTATTAAAACCTCTGTGTAGCTCAGCGCTGGGCATAAATGTCACTTTGTGTTTTCTGCAGTCAAGCGAGAGCCTGATGCCCACAGTCACTTCAGATCAATGTGAACATGCAAACGGCACAGAAGCGCCCGGAGAGCCGCAGTGACCCCGTCTTACCAACACACAGAGAAGCTTTCCTTCATCTCTCATGCAAACTCGTCCACAGGAACAGAGCCACAGGCTAATACCTGCTTATGCTAAGAAACTTATCTTGTACTGTACTTAACTGTAGCCTGAAGTCATTAAACTACAGTCAAGCTAGCTAATATAAAAAGTGGTTAGCTCCACTACAACTTGCAAAAATCATATTTCTTTAGTGTGTAACTAATGTTGCTGTTTGAGCATGGAAAAGCTATGCAAAGTTCTTCTCTATATCAGTGTCAGTGTTTCTGAACTCCCTGAAACGCCCTCCATTGTAGTCTTGAGTTTCTTCCGGGAACGAACACGTCACAATATTCCTCATTATAATAATTCATACACACAATAAAGGGGCGGGGCCTGGTTGAGTTATTAGTAGTGTGTTAACCCTCTGGGGTCTGAGGTATTTTTGGGGCCATTGGGATGTTCTGGCATGCCCTTACATTTGTGCTTTTTTCAGTTATTTATAAACATGTTAATGGCAAAGGTGTAAATTCACTCTATATAGCACAAACGGGGTTACCATAATATCTGAGCAACATGTATGTACAAGTTTGTATTTTTAAGAGAATAATGTTTATGCGTGGTTATTGAAAAAAATAAAAATGAAAGCTGCTGAAATAAGACCACAAAACAAATACTAAATATGTGTCCACAAGACTTTTGACTAATGGATGTTGTCGCTTCGAGTTCTGGCTTCAAAATGATGTGAAAATCATCCCTCCTAATCGTTCACATAAAACAAAACATTAATTTATACTTTGTATGACAGTTTTTTTGTCAGAAGAGGTTTATGCGTGGGAGTGGTAATGGCCTATCAATATTAATGAGATTCAGACCAGGGGTGTGACAGACACTCCCCCAATGGCCCATTAGGGTGAGGAAGCCTGAACAAAGAATGAGAGGAGATTCAAAGGTTTTGTTTTTCAATCTGTTTTATTGTAATTCCTCTGTGTGGAGAAACTAAATGTTCTAAATTTGCTCTAAGCAAATCAAATGTGAGTAAAATAAATAAATAATCAGTCTGCTATAAACAAAGCAATTGTGAGCGATAAACAA